CTTTTTGGGTTCTTTTTGTTCTTTTCTTAGTTTAATGCTTGTCAAAAAATGTTAAATTATGTAAGAACATGGAAAAAAGTCCAAAGACAAGGAAAAAAGTTTATAGCAGTAACTAGATCCACCGTGACTGGCTCTAACAATAAAAGACAGCCTACACGTGATTACTCAATCTAATAGCAATTTCAATGTGATTGATAATATAACGTAATAATATGAATGACACTGGGGTCTTTTTCTTATAAAACAGCTCCTTTTACATTCATTATTAAAGTTTATTATGCACCTAATACATGTGCATTAAATACTATACTTAAGAAACCATTAAAATCATTTTACATTGTCACTTACACATAAATGACCTCAATATTTTTATCACCATTGCAGCTGAGAGACCTGAATGTGATCCACTGTTGGTGTCACAATTCCTTGCCTTAAAAGAAAGAATAACACCTTAAGATCCCCCATGCAGGGGAAGCACAATTCAGGTCTTTATTGCTTTGAGGCTTGTTTAGAGTGTATATTCATCAGTTGCCCACACACACACCCACTGTGTCTATCTGTAGCCCGCCGCTCCTGTCATCCTCCACTGCTGCTTCCCGTGTCGTGACAGCTCTCTGTTTTATCCTCAGCACTGCCGTCACCCTCTGCTCCCCTGGAATTTCAATCTCATGTGCTTTTGTTTCCTTATTCCACCAGCACCACCTGCAGCAGCACCCCTAGTGCGCCTCTTGTCTTCCAATGCCTGCTGGAGAGCTGTGCGCATAAGAAAAGTGTCGAGCGAGGAGGCATGCCCGGTTTTATTCTGAAGACGGAAGTGTTAGATAAGTTGGTAAATTGAACACCCTCTGTCATCATTACATGCATGCACACTTGCAGTGAGACAGTTTAGTGTGTAGGAGGCAGAGCAGGCAATTTGCTTAATTCTAGAGATCAGTGCCGATTCTAAAGATCCATGTTAATTACCCTTAAAACCAAGCCTCTTTTTTGTTGTTGTTGTTGTTGTTTGCCTGAGCTGAAGGAAGAGGAAAGCAGGGAGCAAATGTGATTTTATGTATTTCCACCATTGGATGAATTAACTGAACTTTTATCTGCTGATATGTGTATTTGGAATTAAGCTTCTACACAGAGGTGGATGGAATCAACACCCAAAACTCTTTAGACATCTTTGGACGAAAACTGCACATTAAGAGCTCTTTGCAAACAGACCTCTGTTACGTTAGATAGCATTTTGATGTTGGCTGGGTAGCCAACCAGCCACATTGTTTGTGTTATTTTACTGACATAGATAATCATATTGCAAACCTTTAGGTTGGTCTTGCATAGAACAATTTAATTTATGGTACTCCCCTTCAAGCTAGAGCTACATGCGTATTATTTTCATACATAATGTTCTTCAGACCAGCTACTTTTTTTCTCAAACTTGAAGTACATAAAACAGACAATACTTCTGTAATTTTGATTAAATTGGATTATGAATGCATTCCATTTTCTTAACTGCTTATTCAGCTTAGAGTCACTGAGGAGCACACAAGGCAGCACACAATCATGTGGCAAATGTCATTTTTTGTAACAAATTTGTCACATGGTTCAATAAATTCTCCATTTTCAAAAAGTTAAATCTTTCTGGCAATGAGTTCATTTTCAGGCTTTAAGGGGTTAATTGACTTTGAAACATGGCACCGTTTTTGGTGCTGGATGGGCTAGTCTGAGCATTTCATAGACTGCTGATCTCCTGGGATTTTCCCACACCAACGTCTCTGGGGTTTACAGCGGATGGTCTAAAAACATTTTGAAAAATATTCAGAAAGCCGAAGATCTCTGAATAAAAAAGGCCTTGTTGATGCCAGAGGTCAGAGGAGAATGGACATACTGCTTAGAAGGCAACAGTAGCTCAAAAAAGCACTCATTAAAACCAGTGTATGCAGAAGAGCATCTCTGAATGCACATGTTGAACCCTGAAGCAGATTGGCTACAGCAGCAGAAGACCACAGCAGGTGTAATTCCTGCCTGCTAAGAACAGGAATCTCAGGCTACAAGTCAGATGGGCTCATCAAAACTGTACAACAGAAGGTTGGAAAAATGTTGCCTGGCCTTTTGAGTCTTGATTTCTGCTCTGATATTCAGATGGGTCAGCATATGGCAACAACATAAAGGCATTTTCTTGGCACCAACACCATAGCCTAGAAGAGTTGCTGAGCATATCCATTCCATTATATTCACACTGTATCCATCTTCTGACGGATGCTGCCAGCAGGATAACACATCACAACACTAAGCTTAAAACATCTCAAATTCATTTCTTGAACATGACTTAAATGGCTTCCACAATCACCAGATCACCATCAATAGAGCGTCTTTGGGATGTGGGGGAACTGGAGACCCACATCATGGATGTGCAGCCAACATATCTGCAGCAACTGTGTAATGTTATCATGCCAACATGGACCAAAATTTTTAAGTAATGTTCACAGTGCCTTGGTCAATCTATGCCACAAAGACAAGGCAGTTATAAAAGCTAAGGTCCAACACACTACTGGCAAGAAGTGGCCATGGATCTCAGGGGTCTAGGCCCACCTAAAAGAGTGACTACGCCCCCTCAGCTGCATTTTACTGATGCACTTCAACTATAAGTTACACTAATTCATACAATTTGGTAATGAAAACCTGAAATATCACAGATAAGTTACTGTAATGTGAGCACAGTAGTTTAGTGCTTCTGCATGAGTTGAGGTAATCAGCAGATATTGAGAACGAGTTTCAAAGCACGACTCTACTGAAAAACTGCGAAACAAATGTAAATGTGTTGATGACACTGTGCGCTCACAATCATCCGTCCTACTGTGTGGAGAAAAAGTCTCTATTGTTTGTCTCCCCCTTTGCCTCTGCAATCTAAGATAGATATTTTTGCACTTTTAGAGTTGTGGCTAAATGTCTCCATGACTGTACTATCATATATAGCTGTCCTGAGCCAAATGCCTCCCCCAGTGTCAAAGTTGGTTGCCCATCCAGCACGTATGGTCTGCTCCTGACCCTGGTAGCCAGTAATCAAAAACTTAAAATAAAGACTGAATTAACTATTACTGTGAAATACACGTGTGAGTTAAAGTAATATAAATAAAAGAAAATGTGAAAAATTCATACAATACCAGACCAGAAGTATCTTTGTTTTATATATACATTTATATCATTATATACACTGTACAGATTTCAAAAAAATAAATGGTCAATATTTAACATTGTGCACCCCACGGATGTGTAACTACAAAGAGAAAGGGAGTGAAACAGGGGGGTTTGTGATATCAAGGATAGATATCTACAACCCCATTAGTAATGATGGTTCTTTTTCTCTTTTTTTCTCCATACAGAACATTTTCACAATCATTTTATACAGTCAGTATATAAATTAAAATGTTGCTGGTTAACCTCTCTTTGTCTCAAGCAGTCCCTAAAGAGAATGCCCTAAAACAGAAATGCGAGCTTGTCCAGTAAACTTTACCAGTGTTTGGTTTTTGGCCAGTGACGAGTGTAGAAAGACAATTTTAGCTCGATTTCTTAAAAAAATGTATCAAACCCTGACTGATCTTTAACCAATATTTAAATTGCATTGATTGACTTTCACTAAGCCTTTGGAATGTAATGCTTTCTCAGCAGGGCAGTACATCAGGACAGACAGATGAATATGAGAGGTGGTTATTTTGGGATGCTCCAAGGCTCTGCTCTGACCTGAGATGTAGCTAACAGTGAAGCAAAGAGGTGATGATTATCTCCTGTCTCACCTTTTTTCCCCCCTCCTCCCTTCCTGACACTTGGAGAGGGAGCGCATATGGTGAAGAGCAAGGCGTGACGGGGTTCATAAGGCACACACAGAATACTTTGTGCCAGAAAGCATGTGTGCACAATGGGGGTGTTTTGAGGGAGCATCAGCTGTGACGTGAAGGAGCAACCCTTCGTTTTTTGGCCTTGGTGAATTAGATTGGTCCACTTAGAGAGGCGAGATAGGGCATAGAGGAAAAACGTCTTCAGCTGCTTTTGTTTAAACTGAAAATCTGGTGTATGGTCAAATGGAGCAACTTTTATCTATGGTTGTTGTAAAGCTTTTTTCTTGTGACCTTCACTCTCAGCTCATGTATAAGAGATCTAAATGTCCTCCAAACATGAGGAATATAAGCCTGCTGTGAAGAGAGGTTTGTTCCAGCATCATCGTCAACAAGTGCAGTGATTCTTCAAGAAGTGACAACTTAAAAAAAAGAAGAAAAGAACATAGTTCTCTGTACATCTGGATTCATACAGAATAAAAACAGCAAAGAATGCTGTTCAGTATTAAACTGGCAAAATAGAACTTAGTGCAGATATACACACAGGGACTCACAGTAAATACAATCACACAAACATAAGTTCAAATACTGACATTCAACCACGGTGCAAACACACACACATACATCCAGTAGACAAAAAACAAACAGTGGAATGTAAAAAGACTTTTCCCAACCCCAGGTGTTATTACTCTCATTTGTTTCCATTCATCCCAACAGCTCGTGTCTGTACAGGACTTGAGGGAGGTCGCATTCAGGCAGCAAAGATGTTTAAAAAAATAACTAAATAAAGACAAACTCTGACTTTACATTCCCAGTTCTTGTTTCAAACAGAAAGGTGACAGGGCTTTCTCAACTGCAGCTCCACTCCCTGTGTCTGTTACAAATCCTCCAAATGCTGCTGTCTTTAAGTCTAGATTAACGACCCAGTTGTAGTCCATGATATTCCTGGGCTCTTAATCTCTTGACAACGTCTGCAATTTGTGGCTGCAGTCTTATTTTGTATTTTGGGCATATTTGTAATTTGTAATCTTGTAATAGTTTATAAAATTTTGATTTCATGTGATTTCTTCTCATATTTTACTGCATGTATTCATAAATTGTCAGTTCATCCCAAAAAAAGAGTCTAAAGGTTCATGGTCAACCTTGAAAACACAAATCTCAACTGTATAAATACATTTTTTAAAAACCCTCAAGGTCTGCTTTCTTTTGACTACTACTGACTATTACTCATGGCTGCCCAGAGCAGTTTGCTCAGGCGGAGCCTGCACATACAATCTGAGATTTCTTGAGAGCACAAAGTGGCATCGCACCAAAACAGCCAGTTTTAAGTTACTACTGTAAGAAATATTTTTCTTGTAGTTTCTGGTCACTGCCACTGATGTACTGGACTTGGAGAAACTTGCTGGTATTGCATATTGGTGCAATGCCATGGTGTAGGATTGGGCACTTTATCACCATGAGATCTTGGAGATGGTTAAAAAAAACAGCAGTAAAAAGCTAGAAAGAGGACATAAGACCTCAAAAAATGGTTTGCCAATCTATCACTAGTGTTATCAAGCCATGCATTAACGGTTGGCTGCTGTGGTACCACAGCAGTGAAATGTGATGGAAAAAAGTGAAATTCTAGTTGTAGGACTCAATATATTCTTATAAACTCGGAAAACGTAGTGGTAAAAAAAAGAAAAAGAAAAAAAGAAAAAAGGTTTAAATATCAGGACATAAAAAACATAATCTGTCCTAGCAGGTCTTACAATGAGGTAAATACAACCTCACATGAAGTATAAAACATACTACACAGTCTCATTTTTTAATTCAAGAAACATTAAGCCAAAATGCCGAAACAGTGTGTGTGAAAAACTATGTGCACCTTAGATGTTTGGTCATAGCGCCACATTTGGAGAAACCCAAACACAGCAGATCAGCACAAACACCAACTGTCAAGCATGGTGGTGGAGGGGTGATGATTTGGGCTTGCAGCCACAGGACCTGGACACCTTGCAGTTATTTATCAAACTATTCTAGAGTCAAATGTGAGGCGATTTATTTGACAACTAAAGACTGGCTGCAATAATATCCCAAGCACAGCAGCAAATCTACAACATTGCAGAAAAGCTAAAAATTAAGGTGTTGCAAAGGCCCAGTCAAATTCCAGCTCTTAACCTCAAGTTATTGCTGCTAAAGGCGGTTCGATAAGCTTTCTACACACTATTTCTTCATTTTGGCTTAGTTTCAGTTACACTAATGTGTTGTTGTGCATCTCAGGTTGTATTTACCACATGTCAATAACTTTTTATTATGTGCTGGTATGTAAAACTTTAGAACTGAGAAAGGGTGTACCTTTGCTTTACCATGTCTATATGTCGTCAGCAATTTGCACAGATTGTTTTCTGCTCTCAAAGGAAACCATTTACATTGGGGTTTCTGGACTATATCCATTTACCAAAACACAACAACGTTAAAAATCAAAGTGGTAAATTGTTTGACAATGAAATCCTCTGTTATATATTTCCGGCAGTTAGTCTGATTTTCTGAGCTCAAATCTTTTACATGTGAAACTGAAACTAGCTGTCTTTCTTGAGACCACTAAAGGGCGTGTTAGAAAGTTGTGTATGTGTTGTGGACAGACTGACACCTACTTCAGTGACCTCCACCCACATGTTCAGCTAATCTCAATTTTTGTCATTGTTATCAGGGGCAGTTTGGTTTTCGACAATATTTTTCGTTCAGCCGTGCAAATCTAAAATATTTCCTCCCTCACACACACACACACACACACACACACACACACACACACACACACACA